TGCCCTGCGCTGGACTCTCTCCAGCAGCTCCCTGTCCTTCTTGAACTGAGGGGCCCAGAACTAGACACAATATTCCAGATGCGGTCTCACCAGGGCAGAGTAGAGGGGGAGGACCTCTTTTGACCTACTAACCACCCCCCCTTCTAATACACCCTAGGATGCCATTGGCCTTCTTGGCCACAAGGGCACAGTGTTGGCTCATGGTCCTCCTGTCGTCCACTAGGACCCCCAGGTCCTTCTCCCATACACTGCTCTCTAACAGGTCGTTCCCCAACCTATACTGGAACCTGGGGTTGTTCCTGCCCAGATGCAGGACTCTACACTTTCCCTTGTTATATTTCATCCAGTTATTCCCTGCCCAACTCTCCAGCCTGTCCAGGGCTCGCTGGATGGCAGCACAGCCTTCTGGCGTGTCAGCCACTCCTCTCAGCTTTGTGTCATCAGCAAACTTGCTGATAGTACACTCAATTCCCTCATCTAAATCATTGATGAATATATTAAATAATACTGGTCCCAGTACTGACCCTTGAGGCACTCCACTAGTTGCAGGCCTCCATCTAGACTCCGCCCCATAGACTACAACTCTCTGGCTTCTCTCCTTCAGCCAGTTTGCAGTCCACCTCACTACCTGATCATCCAGTCCACACTTCCTCAATTTAGCTGTGAGGATGCTGTGGGAGACTGTGTCAAATGCTTTGCTGAAGTCAAGGTAGACCACATCCACTGCTCTGCCATCATCCATCCACCGTGTTATTTCCTCATAAAAGGCTAAGAGATTGGTCAAGCATGATTTCCCCTTGGTGAAGCCCTGTTGACTGCCCCTCATAACCCTCTTATCCTTGATATGCCTTAAGATGGCACCAAGGATAAGGTGTTCTATCACTTTCCCAGGGATGGAGGTGAGGCTGACTGGTCTATAGTTAGCCGGGTCCTCCTTCTTGCCCTTTTTGAAGACTGGAGTGACGTTTGCTTTCCTCCAGTCCTCAGGCACCTCTCCTGTTTCCCAAGACTTGGTAAAGATGATGGAGAGTGGTCTAGCAATGACTTCCGCCAGTTCCCTCAGCACCCGCGGGTGCATCCCATCTGGACCCATGGATTTATGGATGTCCAGATTGCTCAACTGATCTCTAACCCATTCCTCATCGACTAAGGCAAATCGCTCCGTCGACCTGACTTCATCTAAGGTCTCAGGGGTACAGGGTTCTTCAGGACTGCCTGCAGCAGAGTAGACAGAGACAAAGAAGGCATTCAGTAACTCTGCCATCTCTGTATCTTCTGTCACCAGGGCACCCATCCCGTTCATCAGTGGGCCTACATTGCCTCTGGTGTTAGTTTTATCCGCCATGTATTAGAAAAAGCTCTTTCTGCTGTCCTTGACCCTTCTTGCCAGGTTTAATTCAAAGGAGGCCTTAGTCCTCCTAGCTGCCTTCCTACATCCTCTAGCAGCAGCCTTATATTCCTCCCAAGTGGCCAGCCCCTCCTTCCATGACCTGTAAACTCTCCTCTTCCACTTGAGCATACCCAGCAATTCCCTATTTAGTCACACAGGTCTCTTGGCCCTCTTCCTTGACTTCCTACGTGTTGGGATGCTCTGATCTTGAGCTCAGAAAAAGCAATCCTTGAATGCCAACCATCTTGGGCCCCTTTTCCTTCAAACAGCCTTGCCCATGGGTTTTCCCCTAGCAATTGCTTGAAAAGGCCAAAGTTTGCCCTGCTAAAGTCCAGGGTTGCAATTCCACTTGCTATTCTACTGGTCCTACCACACAAGATCCTGAATTCCACCATCTCATGGTCGCTGCAACCAAGGCAGCCCTCAACCCTTACTGCTTCAACCAGACCCTCCTTGTTAGTGAGGATGAGATCCAGCAGCGCTCCTCTCCTGGTCGGCTCATCCACCATTTGCAGGAGGAAGTTATCATCCATACACTGGAGGAACCTCCTGGACTGTGGCTGGGTTGCTGAGTGGTCCTTCCAGCAAACATCAGGGAAGTTAAAATCCCCCACGATGACCACAGCCTGTGACTGTGAGGCTGCTCTCAGCTGCCTGTAGAAGTCCTCGTCAACTTCCTCACCCTGATCTGGTGGCCTGTAACAGACACCCACAACAGTATCCCCCCTGCCAGCCTGTGCCTTAATTCTCACCCACAGACTCTCAACTCGCTCGTCATCTGTCCCTGGACAGAACTCAGTGCATTGTAGTTGCTCTCGCACATAAAGAGCAACCCCACCACCCCGCCTGGCTGGCCTCTCTTTCCTGAAAAGGACATAGCCCTCCATGACTATATTCCAGTCATGTGAGCTGTCCCACCACGTCTCTGTAATTGCCACCAGATCATAGTCTCCTGACTTAACACAGGTTTCCAGCTCCTCTTGCTTATTTCCCATGCTGCGCGCATTGGTGTACAGACATTCCAGGGAGCAAGCTGAGCACACTGATTTCACCCTAGGATTATAGGAGGCCTCCCAGTCTTCATTAATTCTGGAGTGGTGCCCCACTGGGGCAAGCCCAGCTACAACCCCATCCCCCTTCGAATCTAGTTTAAAGCTCTCCAAATGAGCCCTGCTAATTCGTGCCCCAGCATCCTTTTGCTTCTGTGAGATAAACCTTTCCCACTTGTCATTGTCCAGACTGGTGCCCTATAAAACCAGCTGTTATCAGAGAATCCAAAGCCCTGCCTGTAGCACCAGTCTCGAAGCCAATCGTTTATGGACTGAATCTTCCCATTCCTTCCCACATCATCAGTGGAAGATGGAAGGAGCGAGGAGAAGATCACTTGAGCCCCAGGCTCTTTCACCATCCGCCCCAAGGCCCTGTAGTCTTTCTTCATCCCCCTCAGACTGCGGGAAGCAGCTTCCTCCCCACCTGTCTGGAAGACCAGCAGCGGGTAGTAGTCTGTCGGGTGCACCAGGTTGGGGAGCGCCCTAGTGATATCCCTGATCCGGGCTCCAGGCAGACTACACACTTCCCTATGATGAGGGTCAACTCTGCATATCGGGCCCTCTGTTCCTCTCAGAAGGGAATCGTCTACTACAATGACCCTTCTTTCTTTCTTATCAGAGGCAGTCTTGAGGTGCAAAGTCGACCACTTTTTCCTATGTGGCCTTGTAGGCTGGCCTTGCAGGCTGGCCTTGCTCACACTCTCACCTACCTCTCCTTCAAGATCCAGGGCCTCAAACCTATTACGGAGGGACACCTGGGGAAGCAGGGCAGGAAGGGGGGAGGCTTTCCCACGATGCCGAACTAGAACTCACTTCCAACAGTCGTCGTCTTTTTGGTCCCCTACCTCTGCACAACAGCTACAGGGCAGGGGCTGTCTCAGGCCATCTCCCTCTGTCTGTGAAGGCAGGCGGTCCTTCCCCTTTTGGGGGATATCTCCCTGGAACCGTTCCGACTGGCATGCCAGGGAGTTACTCCACCAGTCGATCTCCCTTTCACACTCCCTGATGGTCCTCAGCGTCTCAACCTCCTCCTTAAGTTTTGCCACCAGGCTAAGCAGATCTTCTACCTGCTCACACCTCACGCAGGTGGAATGCTGTTCTCCCTCCCCCGGCAGCAGCAGGCTCTGTCACTCCCTCCATCCAGAGACCTGAACAGCCACGGTTTGGGACGGGTTCTCTGTCTCAGTTGCTGCAGTCTTCTTACTGCAAGCTCTCTTTCTGGAGGCGACCATATTGGTCCGCAGTCTGGGACACCAGCAGCAGGGTCAGCAACACGACCTGCTTGTTCCTCCCTGCGCCTGGTGGGCAGCGCTAGAACTAACCATAGCTTAAAACATGGCTTACCTTATGTGTTCTAGTTAGCACCTTTTTCAGTTGCATTTTTCACATAAAAGAGAAAGCTAATTTGAAAAAGAATCTATGGCCTCTTAAATATTTATTTCCTCTAACTACAGCTTTGTATGCATTTACCAAAAATGTCAAGGGCTTTATTATGTTGATTTCGTTTGTGTTGTGCTTTCAGATATATTTTTTTGTTTTTTGATATTTTAGTTTTTCTGTGGGGTGTTGTTGTTACTGTTTTTTAATTAAAGGGATTGTATCACTTATTTTCCTCTACTAAAAAAGGTAAGTTTGACAGACTTTTTGTCTCTTAACAGCTGTGTATACTTACCTTTCAAATATTATCCTCACTTTCAGGTAGATTAAGTTGCTATTTCTTTAATTTGTCTCATATACCTGTGGAAGTAAAATTCTGATTTAAGCCAGATATCTTGGCACCCAAAATTAAATCTATTCTTAGCAAAGCAATTGCCTGTCAACTGCCTCTATACAGCCACAGTGAAAGCTAATTTAAAAAAAAAAAATACAGTACGATTTGGAAGCACTTTGAAACAAACTTTTAACAATATGTATTTGCTCAGAATGCCGAAAGCCTTATGCATTTTCATGGTAAAATTTAATAAATGGGAAAATTCAAGCCAGAATGTCTTTTCCTATTGACCTCCCAGTGCACCTTGTCTCAGGCCATATATTTGTGTTTGCAGCACCCTCCCTCAGAACATGCAATCCTCTCCCCTTGACTTCCAAACACAGATAGACAGGTTTTTCACTGCTGATGTTCATCCTTCCTCCATGGCTTTTATTTATAGTTGATTTCTTTGTTGCTACATTGGCAGTAAAAGGGAGGTTAAGGACAGTGTGAGTCCATCGCTTAAAGAGCCAGGGGAATAGTGACAAGGAACATGGCTGTGGTAATCAGTATCTTCTTTTGCTTTAGTTTTCCCTGACTGGGCTTGCAATTAGGCCAGTCAGATCTGCTTATCAAGAGTCTGTGGGGATGAGCAGTATCCACAGCAAAGGAAGAAAAGAGCTAGAGATCACTTAGCCCACTTGAACATGCAGAACTCCATGGGACCTGATGGAATGCACAGGTATAGGGAAAGATCTAGCCAATGGCATTACAAGGTTACTGTCTAAATCTTAGCCAGGTCACAGTGATCAAGGCAGGTTTCTGTTGACTGAGAAAAAAAAGACATTGCATTCATCTGCAAAAAGGGGAAGGAGGATGCAAGCAACTACGGCCAGTCAACTCAGTCCCAAGGGAGGTTATGGAGCAAATCCACCTGGAAGATATTTTGAAGCACATGGAAGACAAGAAGGTAGTTGGGAACAGCCAAGGGTAAACCACACCTTACTGACTTCATTGCTTTCTATGTTAAACTTACTAGTGCTGTGCTATGGGAGAACAGTGAATATTGTTTACTTTGAATTTACCAAGCCTTTTGAAAAGTTTCCAGTTTTCCAGATTCAAGTTACTAAATTGGTGAAATAGGTAGTGGATAACTGGATGATAAGGTGTGTGAAAAATTGGCTGGACTGCTGGGCTTGAAGAGTTGTGATCAGCAGTGCAAATTTCAGCTGATGATCAGTTGGCTACTAGTGGGGCCCCTCAGGGATCGGTACCAAGACCAGTACTGTTTAATGTCTTCATTAACAACCTAGATGACAGATAAGAGTGAGCATCAATACGAGATGAAAGTGGACAGTATTTTCTTTTTGAAGTTGGTACCTAGGGTATATGTAGACCATTCCGTTTTTAATACCTCAGGTTGAGCAGCCTCACTTTAGATCTTCCACTTCCTCAGTGACAGTTCTAACCACATAGTCTTTCTTTCTGAGATATTTGCTTTAAATGCAAAAGCAAGTCACATCCTGATACATTCTTGAAACAATTCTGGGCATTTGCCTTGAGGTGTGGATTCTGAATGGAAAGAAGCCCCTGCCTGTAGCATCAAATTTAGCCAAAATAGCTGGAGAAAGATGGAGCTGAAGACAAACTCCTATTAAGATTCCTGGCCTAGCTGTCTGTTGGGTACTATTAAGCCATCTAAGCCTACCTTTTCACTAGGTTATGACATCCATGTGTTTTGACATCTGTTTCTGAGGTGTATAACTGCCCCAATGCTCTGTGTAACAATCTGGTTTCACAATACAGTTCTTCATTCCAACCCTAACAAATACTGAAAGAGGATGGATCTAGATCCCTAATTATCCACTTTGAGGACTGCAAATACTTTTGACATTTGAATTGGTTTCCACTAATATGGAAGTAGGATGTAAAAGGGAAAGTGAGAGCAAGATAGAAGAATAACCAAAAATCAAGTTCTATGGATGGTGGAATACTTAATTGGATGGGTAAAATGTGTGTTCTTGTGACAAAAGAAATTTAGACTATAGCACCCACATCCTTGCAAAGTAATAATCTTTAACAAGGCTTCCTATAGAAGCTAGAAACAGTAATCTCAAAACTAATCTCATAGAGTCGTAGAATAGTTAAGGTTGGAAAGGAGCTTAAGATCATTGAGTTCCAAGCCCCCTGCCATGAGCAGGGACATCACACACTAAACTATGTCACCCACGGCTCTGTCCAACCCTGCCTTGTGGTTGTATCACAAATTGCATGTAGGAAATTTATTACACTGTTTTACTTTATCTGTCCATTGAGTGTAAAATATAAAGTTCCTATTTTGTAACCTACAGATTGAAATAGGAAAGGTCTAAAATTTTTAGTACAAAATCAGAAATTCTACTTGCTATACCACCAAACACTGCAGAAACATTTAGAATGATTAGACAGCTCCATTCAGGTGCTGAAAGTTCACTTATCAGATGCATAGAAACACACTGAAAGTTATTACAAGCTAAAGATAAGACATTTTTGTGGATTCAACTGCTTGCATATGTCTTGACTAATTTTTCCCAAAAATTATTTAGTACAAATAATTTTTTGCAATATGCTATTTGTGACATTGCTTGCCAGGCAAATTATGCTGGGTACCAATCTTCTGGTAAGCCACAGGAAAATGAAATCCACACCGTTCACAGGAGCGTGTACTAACCGACAGACTACAGACACATATTATTACGTGCATTGGTATATGTTAGTTGGTGGTACCCTTTGTAACTTTTGATTAAATTTTGTCAACACAAATCCAAGAATGTAAACTTCTTGGAGAAAAAGGCAAATTTATTCACTTGTTTAGTTGATGTAGTTTTACCTGTGCATAGGATGGTCTTCGGAATTAGGTTGCCGAGTAGCAGAAGAGTTTGTATATCTTTCACTAAACCCTCATTTGATAAAAAAAAAACAACAAAACCCACAAAGACTTGAAAAAAATATATTTGGCCAGAACAGGATACCATCCTTTCAGGCAAGGGTGAAAATGAACTTGAAGCTGTCATTCTCTGAATGAGATCCGTAATTTCTGGAAACCATTATTTCTTCCTTTACTTTCTTTTAAAGGTGATATAAACAGAGATCATATGCCAACTTTTGCATTTGAGGGGAGAACTATGCTGAAGAGAATATCAGGAAATCATGAGGAAGCAAAAATATCCCTAGGACACCATGCAGCATGTCACTAGCTACTGATGAGATGCAGTTTTAGATCTGGTTCTGCCCTTTGGAATCTCTTAACGCTGTCTGCAGACTTCTTCGGAAGTCAAGACAGATAGGCACTTAAGTCAGTTACTTTGAATGACGGGTTGGGCTCAAGTGCTTAATTTTACATAATTGCATTCAGGGTACCTCATTTTACCCTGACTGCTTCATTCTTGCTATGCTTCCCTTTCCATTTGGCAAAACTGTGTATAGGCATCTAACTGAAGCAGCTAACATACACAGCAGTTTGTGCAGAAAGCAACAAAGAAGGAGCCCGCAGGTCTGTGCCGACCAGCATATATGTACTTAGCTAGGGTGGTGACATGCCACAGGTGACAGGGCAAGGTTTCCGGCTGCTGTTAGAGCTTCTGTCCCTGTGACATACAAGGCTTGACCCGGAGAAATCTTCAGAGAGAGGATTTAGATCTACAAATCTCAAACTGCAGGGGCTGCCTGGGACATCTCACTGAGATTAGGCTAGATGGTTGTACAGCTTGTAGCAGCTGTTCAGTTGTCAAGAAGCTGTGCCACCAAATGAAAGAGCTGCAGGAACAGGTCAGCAGACCAAGAAGCTTCAGGGAGGAAAAGAAAGCAATTGAATGGCTCTTCTCTGAGAGTCTGCAGCTTCAAGAGCTCAAGACTTCCAGCTGTAGCAGAGGGACAGGCAGAGCCTGGTGCCTGTCAGGGTGGCAAGTGGAAACCCCCATGATGGCAAGGGATGGAAGCTGGCACCAGGAAAATGCTTTCTGCTAGTCCTGAATACTTGCACCGACAGAATAGGTTCACTGCTTCATAGCTGCTAAGGACCTTTGTGGAGACAGTGTTCTCATGGGAGAATGCATAATTGGTACATAAACTCTGAATAATCCTGAAAGATACAGCAAGGCCGTGAGAGACCCAAGGAAGCTTAAGCAAGCAAGATAAGAAGAAGCTAGAATTCACTGAAGTAATGAGAACCATGGACTGTCGGCAAGCTTTCGAGGTCAAGTTCTCACACCTGTGTTTAACCAATTATATGTTAGTCACTAAGGGTCTTCAAGACATGTATCCAATCATAATATGCCAAATCACTGTAAGTGCATGTAAGAAATAGTATTTAAGGGGTTAAGGCCTTGTAACAAATGGCTTTTTGTCTGATCATATTGATCTCTGACTGAGTCCATATATATTCTGTGGCAGACCTGGGAGCACTGTAAAAAAAAACACTTCACAGCAAGCTGAACCTGAGCCATACAGAAGCATCAGGAGGAAAGTGTTGGTAGTGGGAGACACTGCTGTAGCAGTGGGATTTCCTACCTGCCAACCTGACCTGTGAACTATAGAGGTTTTCTAATTGCTGGAGTTTCACACTGGAGTTGTTCTGGAAAGGCTGCCAAGGCTCATCAAGGCATCAAACTGTTACCTGATACTGCTTTTCCACATAGACATCAAGTATACTTTTCTGGGATGACCTAGAAAGTACCAAGGATGGTTCTGGGAATGATGGTCAAGGGTGTGGGGGTACAGGTGGTTTTCTCCTCTATCCTGCCAGTGCAGGGTAAAAGGCTTGAGGAGCGGCTGGATTCTGCAAGAGAAGAACTGGTCGTGGAGCTGGTGTCAGAAACGGGTTTGGTTTCTATGACAACTGCATGCAAGTGATGCAATCCAACTGACTAACTGAAGCAAAAGTATCTTTGCCAGCAGGCTGTCCAGAACACTTGTAAGCTAGGAACAGCAGGGGAGGGAGAGAATGATCAGCAATTATGTGAGAAAGTGGGGGACTGGGTGAGTGACTGAGTGAGCAGAGGATGCAGATGATATGAAAAAGGGGAATTTTATAATCAATGGCATGGGGTTGAAGTGGGGTCACTCCAAGAGTATGCATATAAATAAGGAACTGCCTGTGGGACAACATTGCAGTGAATACTCCCATGCTGTTTCTGGGAAATTGGCATACTTAGGTGCCTCTATAAATTGTCTGTACACTGGTGCGTGCTGCATGGAGAGCAAACAGGAGGAATGAGAAGTCCCGATGCAATTGAAGGGCTATGGTCTCATTCAGATCACAGACATGGTGGCGTAGTTCACAAGACTGGACTGTTGCAATGTTCAGAGAGTCAGTGACAGTGAAAGCAGGAAATTACCCTGCATGTGAGGGAGCAGCAGGAATGCATGCAGCATTCCTGTTCTCCAGCTACTTTGAAGTCATTCATGTCTCATCAAGGTAAAATGAACAAAATGCAGAGTAGAATCCAGAGTTACAAGAGTTATGAGACATATATGGAGTAACAGGAAACAGACTTAATCTAATTCCTTTCAAATGTAACCAAGTTGCATTAAGATTTAATCAGAAAGGTTTCTTACTCTTTTCTTCAGTTGAATTGCCATAGATCTTTTCTGTGACCTGTCTACCAGGAAGTCTTTCTGTATAAAACCTACCCGAGGTTGCATTTATTAGAAATAACCGTTTATTTACGTATTATGTCAGCTGTGATCATTAACTGAGTTCAGGAGATGTAAAAACGTGCAATGTCTGAAAACTATTTTCATTTTTTTTTCTTAAAGGGTAGCGAGTCAAATTTAGTTATGTAAATGTAGTTACTAGTGACAATTTAGGCAAATACCTGAACTATACATATGGGGCTGTCAGTTGCAACAAAGTGTATGTGAGATCATTTCCTCTGGCCCTGGCAGTCAGAAGGCAGGCAAGATGAGCCAATTAATCTCAAATGGCCTCAGAAGGTGCCTAATTATAGACAGGTGATACCACCACTCTCTGTATTTTAATTAGCTAATTACCTTCACTTGAGATTTAAATCTCTTTTTAGACCAATATGATCACCTGTTTCTAAGCAGTACCAGCTCCTGGCATCTGCAGTAACTACTGCACCTTGCCTTTTTTTTTTTTACATAGGTTTTACCATCCTATGTAAGCAGATCATCAATAGCAGATATTTCAAAATGTCAGTATACCCTCTCAGAATAAAAGTAATGTGAGATGTTGCTGCAGACACAGCTGCTTGTTTTGAACTATAATGCATGGCATTTGTGTCACAGTGATAATTTTCTCTAGAACATTTCCTCTCATCTCTCCAACTCATCAGAATGCTACCTAAACAGCCTCCAAAAATTGCTACCCATATCTTTTTTTTTCACACATTTGCAACATATTTTCTTCCACAGGCAGTCACTTTCAATACCGGATGCAGAGTGTGTAATTAGAAACTTATTGCTTGGAACTGAAGTAAGAGAGAAATCCAGTTGCTGGCCGTTCCACTATACATGAGAGGCATGTGGAACTGGGATGTGTCATTAGAGTTCATCTGGCATCACTGGATTGTCTCTTGGACAACCAAAACGTTTCTCTTGCTCTTTCAGGATTGATCGCTGTTTGTATGACATAAACAGCTATTTCTAGTATTCAGTCTGACCTCTGGACCCTGCATTTTCTTCCATGTTTCTGAATTATTAAGTATTTATTTCTTCCATTCTGGCTGTGCTGAACTGTAGTCCTGGTCTATTTACTGTGAAGCAACAATGTCAGAATTCAAAAATCAAATACAAAACCACAAAGTATCAATAGAAAGAATCTGACTAACAAGATGTTGCTGACCATATGTCCAGATTATGCAGCAATATTAACAGGCTTGGGGAGAATACTTGTTTAATTTCTTTTTTTTTTTCATTATAGATTCATGTGAATTGGTTATTTCTCAAACTACCGCAAATGCGTAGAACAAGAAATAATTTATCTTTGTTGAAAAGGAAAAACTACCAGACAAAATCACTGCTGAGCTGGACCACAGAGAAGAAAGTCTCTAGGGAAGCAAGAGCACAAGCAGAATTGGAGCTATCTGGGAACCTTTTCATTCAGTTCACGAGAGGGAGAACTGGTTGCATAACTGTGCTGACCTAAAAATGCTTTCCAGATTCTTCAGTTAAAGCACAGGAAGGTAAGACCATGCCTCTCTGTACCTATTGGCTTCCTATAGGTGGTTCTCATTCAGTCATTGTTCCAGTTTGAATTCAGAGGCATATAACCAATCATGAGTCATGAAAAAGGGTTTATGCATCTCACACTACTATCCCCTGCAGAGGGTTTGTAACACTTAAAAGTCAAAATCTAAAAAAGTTAATATTTTCAGATGTGGTTGTTTATTAAATTTTATCTATAAAGCTTAAGGAACTGAAATTCTGTTCATTGGCCAAATTCATTGCTCTCTGCAAACCTCTCATCACAGCCCAAAATACCTATAGAAATTATAAAAAATGTAGTATGGTAGATTTTTCATGTGATTTCACAGAATACCCAATGACAGATTATTTTAGGAAATACATAAACATACAAACTTCCTTATTGTACATGTCTATTAAATTCTCTTTCAGAAATCAGCACTGTTAGAAAGATTATTCAGATAGAGAATTACATTTCAATCACAGCAGGACAAATGACTGGTTCAAAAATGGATTTGCTAACTAGGACAAATGATAGGAAGAGAATTGTGAAAAACTAGCAGAAATTATGGGTACAGAAAATGATGATAAAACAGTTCTTGAAAGTGAACTTTTTTATGTCCTCTTCATTTAAAAGGAACTTCTGAAACCATTGATTTCCGTTCACTGTCAGTTTTCTAAAAATTAAATATTACACAACTCAATGCCAGAAGAAGAAACCACAATGTTTAACGGAGGCACACACAGCTGTAGACTCATTGCAGGAACACTGTAATGCGTTTTAAAATCTGTTTACCCAAAAGCAGCTGTTGGAGAGAAACTATCATGCAAAATAAACAGTAAGATGTATTCACCATATGTCCAGTGTCCAGGGGCAATGCTCATGGGAAACTCCCCTAGGGATTTTTAACCTGTGAAAAACTAAGCGGCTTTTCCCAAGCACTAGGATTTGAGGTTTGGACAGGTTATTTCCCCAATTTCTTCAATACTGCTGAAAATCAAAACTATCTACTCCCTCATCCTTGATCAGAATATTACAGAGGGGGCAGCACTGTGACTGGGGAGGGAAAGCAATTATTTGCATGGCACACAACTAATAAGGAGAAGGTTTTGACTTGCAAAAAGACTCAAATTAGTACTGTCAATGTCAGTGTCAACAGGAAGTGAAAACTTTGAGGGAGACCTGTAGTTTATACACTAATGAAGTTATCATGCTGATTTTTATGCTGATATTCTATGAGAAAGAAGGTCATGAAAACACACACCTAGATCAGTCTATAGACCCCTTTTAGTATTCTGTGCTGGTCTCTACTTGTATGTTTGTGTACTATTTTCTGTTCTGCTACCACCAAAACACTTCTGCCCATCCACATGACTGCCACTGAGAAGGATAAAAAAGTGCTTGATCTTCTCTTCACAATACCTGTATTGGCTGCAGGTGCCCATGTTTTAGTAGTGGGAGGGCTACAGGAGTGATATCTGTATGGAAAGGCAGGAGCTGCCCTGTGCAAGGTACAACTAGTTACAGGCAGCTACAACAGAACCACCCCAGGGGATGGCTGAGCCCTTCAACTAAGGTAGTGGCACCGTGGGGAAAGAGTATTTGAGAAAAGCCAATAAAACGCCATTTAGGCAAATGGAAAGGGGAGAAAAGAGTGAGAAACACTAGAGGAAAAATATATTTAAGGGGTTAAATTGTTCCTGAGACAGAGGAGGGAGAGGAAAAATGTTAAAAACTGCCTTGTAGACACCAAGGTCAGTGAAGAAGGAGATGGAGGAGGTACTCCAGGCACATGAGCCAAGGTTCCCCTGCAGCCCATGGTGAAGATGATGGTGGAGCAGTTCTGGAGGGACTGTCTCACATGGGAGGGCCCCCATACTGGATCAGGGGAAAAGTGTGAGGAGGAAGGAGCAGCAGAAACAACCTGTTATAAACTCACTGCAACCCCCCATTCTCTATCCTCCTGCACCGCTCAGCAGGGAAGATGTAGATAGGCACCAACAGTTTTCAGTCACTTGAAAGGTGTTTTTCTCAGCTGTATCAAATGTTAATGTGGACCACATTAAAGCATGTAAAAAGTGTGAGCTTTAATACTACATCTAAGCAGGAGCATGAATGGAAAACTGTAAAAAAATCAGATGGGCAGCTTGAAGAGGTTTTAGACAAAAAATGCCTACACTGCTGAATTCCAGTGATGCTTGTTTTAGTGGCAAGGAAAGAGTAGTCCGCTTATATTAAAAAAACACCTCCTGATGAAAATATCATTTCTAGAATCATACTAGCTTCTAGTCCTTCCGCAGCAAAATAAAACAGTACCCTCCTGGGCACCCTGAAGTTACACTTGACAATTTTGACACCTTGAGAACCTATTTTGGTACACTTAAAGTAAAAATATCTGCTTTATGAGTTTTTCCCTGTGGTTTCTGTCAAGGTAAATGGCAAGCTATTTTTTCTTGTACTGCATCTGTGCTGAAACCCTTCAGAGATACTGCAACTACAGACATACTAGAGGGATACATATAATACTGTTGAACTAAACAAGGTTCTGGAAGAGGCTTACAATGTTTGTGAAATGTATGAAGTTTTTCTTTTGATTATATAAAATTGTACCTCCATTAGAAGCAGAAAGCTTCAAGTTACCCAGCCTGGTACCTGGATGCTGACAAAAAAAAAAACAAAACAGTGCATCAATGATCACAGGCAGAAAGGCAGCTTTGCTTTGCAGTCTGAATGTATAAAGGAAAAAAATAAATCACAAAATACAAAATTGCGTACATGTTTTAAAACTCTGTGGGATGTTTTCCAGGGATCCAACCTTCACAACAGCATTGTCATAATGTATGGTTACCTCTTTTTTTTGGTTTATGATGCAACCCCTGTGATTTTGTTGTTAAGAATGTGGCCGCTGTCTCATGGAGGCACAGCAAATGATGCATGACCCTGGAATGCAAAACTAACAGTTCTGTAGCACAGTTCACCATTGCATGGGCACACCTAGAGGTTTATGAATTTATAGATGCCCTTCAAGACCACTACATTTATCATGACATGGTATTTGTGAGTTGTCAAGCTGTTGTTTAAAAGTTAAGGGCATCTCTGTAAACAAAAAGAACAGACAAAAGAGAGGCTTTACGTTGAATGGAAATGCAATAGCCTCCCCTACAGCTTTTGATAATGGGCATGCAATGCTTACGGTTGGAGATAGGACTGGTGAACACTGATCTGGTACTACTTTGTTTTGCCTGACAAGGCTATTAAAGTGTGGCTGGCAACTGCTATATCACCTCCATAAATATCAAAGATATCAAATCTGGGGAGGAATTACCTTACAGTTTCACTGGTAACCAGCTTATTTACCCTTAATAAAATAAACATGATTTGATGAATTGTGTATTACAGTGGTAAAACTGAAAAAAACTTTTACTAAGCATGTGCCTCACTAAAAGCTTAATATCCTGTACATTTTTTTTTAAGGGCTAATAACAGTCATGACTTCAATCAAATGCAATATACATGATGTTATTCAAGAGCCAGGTTGTATCCCTAAGAAGACACATGAAATCTTGGCAAGACTGGGTTCTTTTAAGTAGCATTTGAAGATGCTACTAAGCCTCCATGTGGGGATCTGTAAATTCTTCTAGGCAAGTAAAGGCTTTTAGGCAAAGAATCGGCCTCTTTTCTGGTGCAAAAGTCAACTATATACATACTGGTGAGAGGGATAGGGGAAGATAACTTAGAAATATAAAGAGATGCACTGGCCATACCTGATTGTGTGAACGGTGGTGATTAAAGCCCCTGAAAAGCTATTTTGGCTCTTAAGTTCTATGTTCTAGTCAGCATGTGACCAGCATCTATGCGATCAGCGTATTCTTAAAGACTAGTCAAAGGCAGAGTACTACCTACAGTTCCCAGAAAACCAACAGGAAATGACCTTTCATCTGTAAGAGCTGCATACATTCCTTCATACAGCACCTGTTTTCAAAATAAGGTGCTACCCACACTTTTTTTCACAAACAGTGAGGGGAAGATGATAACCAGTTTATGCACCCTTGCTGCTGGGGAGCTCCCCAAATAAGAACTGTCTTTGCTGAGCATCAGCTTAAATTTTTCATATATGCTAATCAACAAAACCTTTTATTAGAAAATTTTAGAAAAAAAACATTAGAAAAATGTTCAAACCTGTTATTCTGGGCGTTCAGAGACAAGTGTTGCCTAAACCTGATTAATGAAGCCATCTATCATGATCATACAATCACAGAATGCTTTGGGTTGGAAGAGACCTTAAAGCTCATCTAACACCCCTGCCATGGGCAGGGACACCTTCCACTAGAACAGGTTGCGCAAAGTCCTGTCCAACCTCGCCTTGAACACTTCCAGGGATGAGGTACCCACAACTTCCTTGGGCTACTAGCTCCACCACCCTCAGAGTAAAGAATTTGATTCTAAAATTTGATCTAAATCTACTCTCTTTCAGCTTAAATCCATTCCTATGCTTACTTGCCCTTGTAAAAATTCTGTCTCCAGCTTTCTTTTAGGCTCTCTTTAAGTCCTGAAAGGCTGCTTTAAGGTCTCCTTGGAGCCTTCTCTTCTCTAGGCTGAACAAGCCCAGTTCTCTCAGCCATTCTTCATAGGAGAGGTGCTCCAGCCTTCTGATCAGCTTCATGGCCCTCTTGTGGACTCACTCCAACAGGTGCATGTGCTTCTTACGCTATGTAGCTCATCTCTGACTTATGCTTATAAGCAGAAATGGTAGTCTAGTTAGAACTTTTCTGACATTGTAAGTATTCACAAGGTATTACAATCAAGTTTGTAGTATTGCCATATTGGAATTGATACTGTAATATTGACATATTATAATAATGACATATTTACACGGCTTTAATTTATGAAATGACACTTTCAATCTTATAAATCAAGAAGCAGTTGCACACATATATAAAAATAATAAAACTAATTGGCCTGTAGGCAAAATCTGTGCAGCATTAATTGTAACCCCCAAACAGCATTACGTCATTGGTGCACAAATCTGTTATGGTTAGTGACATTTTTTAGTTATTTATTATTTTGTTGCAAATTTTTATAATAGAAGATTAAGCAGTACTCAGACTAGACTCAACTATTTGAGTCATAAAGCAAATGTCATGTATACATCACATATTCCTATTTGTTTCCATTTCCCACTCACAGTTAAAAATTTAAGTTTGTGATGGAACAGTCAAAGGCAACAAACTATAACTGTGTGATTCTATGGTCTACTTTCCAGTGGCTTAGGAAAAATGATGAAAATCACTGGAATTAGATTATAGACATGAGCTGTAAATATTTTATGAAAGGATGCTACATACTCAGCTCCATTCTTACTGCTGCTTCTGTTTTCATTACAGAAAGAACTCCACTGTTCTTCCATAATTATTTATAAAAACATTCATCACCCCCTATCCTGACAGAAACTATTTTCTTTCCAAAGTATCTCAAGTGCAGTGTAGACACTGTAGTTCCGTAATGATACTTCTTTTACTGATAAGCATAAACTTTTCTAACATACATAAACATTACACAGTCAAGACACTATTTTCTTTACATGAATTCTGTAGAACACAAAGGCATGACATTTGATTATGCTAGATTTCTCATTTCACAGATAATGTTTATGTCTCTTTTCAGCTTAGTAACCAGCTTATATCAGCCATGTTATATTTTCAGCTAACATTTATGCCTTTCTGTGTAGGTTCTGTTTGGAACTATTGTCCTAGAAATACCTAAAAGGCTTTCATTATCTTTTTTTTTTTCTTTTCCTAAATTATTCTTGTCCATGATGAATTTTAAAACCTTAACAATAGAAGATATGCCAAAATCAATCATGCTGTCTCATTGTTTCTTTGGTTTTCACATCTGCCTGTCAATTACCATCTGTTATCTCATGATTACACTTAGATTGTAAATTCTCTCAGGCTAAGAATATCTTTATTCTATGTCTCTATGTTGCTTAGTATAACATTCTGTTTCATCATTTCATCAATAAGCTACTATTAGTCTAATTCATATCTTAGCATTATAATTAAAAATGCACTTGTAAGACAAGGACAATTCATCTGAGTCTAAAGGGACCTCAGGGAAGTCCTGTGACCCTGCTCTGTGAAATCAATGAAAAGTCTACGTCCTTTATTCAGTAAAGTGAAAAATACTGCTTGCTAGGCTACACTGAGTATATAAAAAGTAACTTTGGAGGAAGAACAGATGAATAACAACTAGCCAATAATTAATGTGCTAGAATGGTAGATATGCTATATTTTTAATTCTTTCAGAAAAGCTTTAATTTGCCTTGATCAATTCCTAGCTGCTAGCATGAATCTGAGGTACTTGTGCAGTGCAGGTTTCCTTGGTTGTAACTTCAGTAGACCATTATAAGTGTGCCTGTGGTTCATATCACCACACAATTCTTAGTCTAAAATATGCCTGACTGGTAAGAAGTCTGAAAAGTGCTGGTCTTTATGTAATGGTGTATTCGGCCATGTGCACATGCTAACCTCCAGAGTCCTGCCACCATAAAAAAAACACTTGGTGCTTTTTGTTACTGATCTGCATGACACAACTATACATCTGTAGCTGGGAACAATATTTTTTGGTGCATTGTTTATATTTAAGTATGTTACTGTAAACGTTTACCAGATGAAGAACTGGAATCCAAATTTTCTTCTTCTCAAATGAGCAAAATCAAAAACCTAGTTTCCTTACCTTTCTCTCCTCTTTATGTCTCAGTGACAAATTAATACCTTTGTTCAAAATGAGCCAATATCCTGTTACACTTCTTCCAGTGAATACCTTTTTTTGCTCCCAGTTTGATAAAGTTCCTCTGACAACATCCCATATATTAGAAAATGCCATTTTTGCAGTAGGAGATTGGTCGGACTATGTTTCTACTTTCTGTTAACCATTAAGATTAAAAGTATTCTGGATGTGTAAAGGCTTTTTAGGATAATCTGTTAAGATATTTAGGTTCTTTGCTCAGATCCTCACCAAAATGTAGTTACCTGAGAGTCAGACTAGCAGCAGCACAAGCTAACCACCCAAGTTTCCTACAGGATAACTGAGAGAAATACTTAGAAGCAATTGCAGAAAAGGTAGCACTCTGAAGTGTAAAGAATTAAGTCTGGATTGCCCTCTGTACATTTATATATCTATATATATATATATACGCATGCATAATAGTTTATAGTACTACTTTAGGACAGCATTTTCCTGTTAAGCTGCTGAGGAAGAGTTTAGGCAAATCACAGTGAGTAATGATTTGCATATCTGCGTCTTGTTCCATCTACTACATGATTACCTTCCATACATCATTAGAAAGATGATCAGGAAAAGCAACAAGTAAACTAGTGTTATTTGAAGATTTTAGTTAATTAGTCATTTTTTCTTTTTTTATATTCTTTCTCTCTCTCTTTTTTTTTTTTTACAGAATTGTTCTGTCATACTGAAAATCTTGTACATACTTCTTTTCAGGATTTCCAGCCAAAATATGCATATACAAATCTAGTTGAATTGAATTTTCAAGGAGAATAATAGCTTTTTAATGTATATATGGGAATGAAAAAAAATTAACAATTTTGAAGATACATCATAGAATCATAGAATGGTTTGGGTTGGAAAGGACCTTAAAGCTCATCTAGTTCCAACCCCATGGGCAGGGACACCTTCCACCAAACAAGGGTGCTCAAACCCCTGTCCAACCTGGCCTTGAACACTGCCA